CCCCAAAACCCCAAAACCCCAAAACCCCAAAACCCCAAAACCCCAAATATTTATGTGAGTGTTGAAATTATAGTTTATATTGTCAGGAATATGGAAGGTAAGAATCAGAAAAATGACTGAAATGTATTTAGGAGCATGGGATGAGACTTTTGAAGGATTTTAGAGGATATAGATCAATATTAGAAGGCATAGTTGGATTTTTTTTTTAATTCAGATTCTTTAAAACGGGATTTATGGATATTATTCCACAATGGTTTTAAAATCCTGATGAGGATAATTTGATGTAACTTTAAACTCATACTTCAAATTCAACAGTCTCCAGCTTCCTTTAAAAATAATCCATCATCACACCCAAAACATTATAAATTTCTCATATCGAAAGCTACTTTCAGCTCCCTAAAAATCCCCTCTTTATCAAATAATTTCTCTTGGGCTTATACCGTACCTCTTTTTACTTTAAATAACGATTTTCAAAAACCTGTTCTAGAACCCTCTACTGTTCAGCTTGAAGAAGGCACTAACAACCAGGATGAATTCATGAAGAGGATAGTTGGCACACCCAAAGCTCCAGAGGAGGCTCCTCCTTCCGGAGAAGCCGATCCAAAGACGGTTGCTCTTGATGCGTTAAAGAAGAAATCTCCCATTGAGTACTTCTGGGAGCACCAAAAACAAGCCCAAGCAGATAAGGAAACCGCCAAAGAGAAAGAAGGCAAGCACAAGAAGAAGAAAAAGGGAGCCAAGGCTTCTTCAAAAACCACCAGTGCTCCTGTTGGGCTAAAGCCCAAGACTCCAAAGGAGGAAGAGAAGAAGGAACCTAAGGCCACTCCCTATGTTATTCCTGTGGCTGAAGAGAAACCTGCTAAGAAGAAGAAAAAGGCAAAGAAGACTGGAGTTAAGATGGACAAGGCCAAAACAGAAGCACCTAAGAGTGGTATTAAGCTGGTTAAGGACAAAGAAGCCCGTACAGTTAAGATGCCAACGTATGACGACCAGATTTATAAGAAAGAAGCTAAAGAGAAGAAGCCAGTTGATTCTGAGGAAAGCAAGAAGCAAACGAAGGGGAAGAAAAAGAAAGGCACCAAAGCGCCTATAAATATCGGGTCTACAAGAATTGTGTAGCAATATTTCAAATCTTTAAATATAAACCTAACTGAAGGGGTTTTGGGGTTTTGGGGTTTTGGGGTTTTGGGG